TTATTGAGGGGGCAATGAAGGAATTGTATGCGTACATATACATATGTATTCATGAACGGCTTCCATGCGCATATCCGCCATCATTGCATGCATGCTGCTGCTCTGTTAGGTGTCTAAAAATGAGGGAAAGCATGAATAAAAGTACATAAATATATATATTTTCTTTTAATTTACAAGAAATTATATATAAAAAGTTCTTAAAAGTCAATTTACCTTCATTTTTTGTTTGCTTTCTACCTTTATTCAAGAAGATGATAGAAGTTATACTGAATGATCGATTAGGAAGGAAAATAAGAGTTAAATGTAATCCTGATGATACTGTTGGCGATTTAAAAAAACTCGTCGCTGCACAATGTGGTCCGTTTCCCTGCTGCAGCAGCAAAAAAATAAATCCTCCCTGTAGACCTGCCTATACACCCCAGCACCGTGCATGCATATTTATATACATTATATATAATATATATTAGTGTATATATTACATATATATTCAGCCAGTTGTGCATGCACCACAGTGTATATATACCACAGTGTATCTATTTAACACCTTATGTCTATTTTTATACAATAGTATATATATTTATGCTCTATTGTATTTATTTATATATACCCTAGTGTATATCCATACACCTCGTTGTTGTGCGTCTATAAATACACCCTAATGTACATAAATATATAAATATACACCCTATATTGTACATGCGTATACACCCCAATGTTTCTCTTTGTTCGTTTTATTCCTTCCTTTAATACCCTTAATAATTAACATCTCCTTTTCTCTTGTTATTATATATAGACATAACAGTACTATTATAATATACATCTTTATATATATATTCATAAATTAATTATTTAGTGTTTTTAACTGTTTTGTATTTAAGTGTTTAGGATTTAAGGGTTTAAGGGTTTAGGGTTTAGGGTTTTAGGGTTTAGGGTTTAGGGTTTAGGGTTTAGGGTTTAGGGTTTTGGGGTGTATATACAGGTACCCGACCCGATAAAATACGAATTCAGAAATGGTATACAGTTTATAAAGATCATATTACTCTTGAAGATTATGAGATACATGATGGTATGGGACTTGAATTATATTATAATTAATTATTTATTTATTTATTTATTTATTTTATTTAATTAATTAATTAATTATATTAATTAATTAATTAATTATACTTATTTATTGATTGGTTTATTGGTTAGTTTATTCTTTTTTCCTTCTTTTTTGTCTATTGTCCTTTTTTCCCTTCTTTTCTTATTTTCTTCTATCTCTATTAGCTGCCTATACACCCCAAGAGAAGAAGGAGAAAAAAGAAAAAGAAATTATTATTTTATTTCCTTTTTATTACAACCATTTTTTCTTAATTATTTTCCTTTCTTATTTTCTTTTTTCTTTCTTTTCTTTTTCTTTTCTTTTTTATTCCTTTTCTCTCTTTTTTCCTCTTATAGTTGTATAGCAACAGGGAGGCTTTCTTTCTTTTCTTTCTCCTTTCTTAGTGTTACTTACGACTAAACAAATAAAAGGGCAATAAATATAATATATATACATATATATATTATATTGTATATACTATACACATATATATATTATATTTAATTAAAATAATATTTAGTTAATTATAAAGGGAAGGAAATTAAATATAGTACTTTCTTAGTTGAGGTGTACAGACAGCAGGTCGCTGCATGCGTTTGTTTCTCTTCTTTTCTTTCTTCTTTTAATTAATTTAATTAATGTAATTAATTAAACTAATTAAACTAATTAAATTAATTTATTTTATTGATTTATTTAATTAAGTGCACCTTTTGCTGTTGTTACTAATGCTATTCTTTTCTTTATTTCCTTTATTAATTAAGTATTAATAAATAATTAATAATTTATTCTTTATTAATAGTACTAAATTATTAATTGTTATTAATAAATAATTCTCTATTATTTATAAATTATTATTTATTTTATTAATAAATAAATAAATTTAATAAAGAAAAAGAAAAGAAGGAAAAATAATATCTTCTTTTTTTATTAATTATACAAATACTATTACACAGACAGAAAAAAAAGAATTTTATTTTATTTAATTAAATTAAATTAATTAAATTAAATAAATTAAATAAATAAATTAATTATAATTAATTTTATTAATTATTTTGTCCTTAATAGGCGACAAACAAGAATAATAAATAAATAAATAAAAATAAAATAAAATAAATAAAAGGAATAAATAAATATCTTCTTTTTGTTTATTTTTGTTTATTGTATTATATAATCGATTTACTGACATAAACAAGGAAAGGGGAAGAAAAAGAAGACAAGGGAGAGAAATGTCTTCGCTTTCCTTTATTTATTTATTTATCTTTTGTTTTATTTATTTATTCGCCAATTTTTATTTATTTTTTATTTATTTTTTATTTATTTTATGGCTACAGTCGTCAATAAATTTCCTGTGTGTATGCATATAGTACAATAAACACTCTTTTTCCTTTTCTTATTTATTTACAATAAATAAGAAATAAATTATAATTTAATGAATTATAATATAATTTAATTATATTTATATTTATTTTTTAATTTTATATCCTTTTTTATTGGTAATAAATGCTTCTTTTCCCTCTGTGTATTTCTTGTTGCCGCCAACCAGGAAAAAAAAGTACACACCCAAATTTTTTATACTTTTTTTATTATAAAGAAATAAATAAATATAATTAATAATTTTAATGAATATTTTAATGAATTAATTGAATAAATAAAGGAAAATATGAATTATTTCTTCTTTCTTCTTCCCTCTTTATATGTATATATAAGATAATTGAGGTGTACATACACCCCGCTGTAGGCGCCACTCTACTACCACCACTGCCATCATTCATTATTCATAAAAATATTTATTTTTCTCCTTTTTTGCACAAAATAAATAATTATTTTCTTTTATTTCCTTTTTGGCATTATGTAAAATATAAATAAAAGAAAAAAAAGTATATTTACCTCCGTGTTCCTGCTGGGGGTTTATTTTATTTATTATTGTATATATATACGCGTGCTCCTTCATGGCGTCATTATTTATTGATTTTTATATTTATACATTTATAAATTATTTATTTAAATAAATAAAATATAAAAGAATAAATAAATAATTCTTTTTTAAGGCGTTTTTTCTCAAGAATAAGACAATCTTTCCTCTTTTTCCTCTTTTTTCCTGTACACAACTCTTATAACCATTGGTCTACTATACAAACAATATAATAATGACGAATAAAAAAAGAAATTCTTTTTTTTCTTCTTCTTCTTTTCTTAATTTAAATAAAGAAAAAGAAGAATATTTTAATAATTCTTCTAATATTCATACAGAAGAAGAAGAAAAAGAGGAAGAAGGAAAAGAAGAAGAATCCCCATTTATAACAGAAGAAGAAGAAAAAAAAGAAGAAATAGAAGAAGAAACAGATGAAGAAAAAGAAGAAAAGGAAGAAGAGGAAGAAGAAATAGAAGAAGGAAAAGAAAAAGAAGACGAAAAAGAAGAAGAAAAGGAATTAATATCATGTAGTAGTAGTATAACAACAGGAAGTCCTCCTTCTGTTAATTCTTCCTTTATAAATAATAATAACTTAATTAATACAAATAAATTAAATAAATTAAATAATATAAATAATATTATAAATAATATAAATAATATAAATAATATAAATAAAAGAAAAGAAGAAGAAAAGGAAGGAGAAAACATGAATAATTCTTTATATACCCCTATAAATAATAATAATAATAATAATAGTAATAATAATAATAATAATATAAATAATAATAAATATATAAAAAAAAGAAGAAATACAATAAAATATATAATAATAATATTATTTATTTCCTTAATTCCTTTTCTTTTTTCTTCTTTTATTTCTTTTTTTCCTTTTATTGATCCCTCTGCTCTTCGGGGCTTTAATGTTGCATGCTTGCATGCAATTCCTCCTCCTTCTTTTTCTTCTTCTTCTCCTTTTTTTCCCTTTTCTTCTTCTTCTTCTTTGTCTATAAAGGAAGAAGAATTAAATAATATAAATAATAATACATTTATTAATAAAGAAGAAAAAGGAGAAGAAAAAGAAGAAAAAAAAGAAGAAAAAGAAGAAAAAAAAGAAGGAGGATGTAGGGAAATAATAAATATAAATAAAAGATGGGGATTAATTCCTCCTTTATCTTTTTTTATATTATTAATAGAATATTGCGGTGTATGTACACATGAATTAATAAATAATATAAATAAATATATAAATATAAATATAAATAGTTTTTTTCCTCCTTTATATATAATTAGGCGTAATATAAGACATTTATCTCCTTTTTTTTCTTCTTTTCTTCTTTTTCCTCGTCTTTCTTCTTCTCCTGTATCTCCTCCTTGTGAATCTTTTATTCATGTTAACTCCTTTATTAATAAACAAGATAATATACATAATAATATAAATAATAATAATATAAATAATAATATAAATAATAATATATATAATAATATAAATAATAATAATAATAATATAAATATAAATAAAGAAATAAATATAAATAAAGAAATAAATAAAGAAATAAATTCTTCTTCTTTTTTTGATTTTATAATTGTTGGAGGAGGAACAGCAGGAACTACATTAGCTGGATTATTAGGAAAAATACAACTGCAGCAGCAGCAGCAGCAGCAGCAGCAGCAGCAGCAGCAGCAGCAGCAGGAGCAGCAGCAGCAAGAGCAGCAGCAACAGCAGCAGGAGGAGGAATTATTCCAATCAATAGATATAGAAGAAATAAGTAGATATGTTTCTTCTTTTTTTTCTTTTTTTTTTCCTTCTTGTATAATTTCTTTAATAGATAAAATAATATATCCTTTTTGTTGTTTATTTGTGTATATATATTTATTATTGAGGTGTCTATACACCCCAATAATATATATATTTATAGATAATAAAGATGCGTATACACCTGAATTATTATTAATAAAGCCACGTATATTAATAATAGAGGGAGGAGGATTACCTGATTTACGTCC